AATAAATATAACATTATAACATGAAATTTCTCTTAAGCATTTACACAAACACTTGGCATGCTTGTTATTATCAACCATATCATTGAAATTTCTCTTAAGCATTGTATGACCAAAATCACTGAAATTGTGATTCCCAGTGATTGAACAACCATTTACACAAACATTGTATCAAGTATCAACTTAAATTTTCCTTCAATCGAGTTTAATTATGGGCTAGACTAAAATCTGTTTTAATACCGAATTAAGTTTATGGGTTTGCCTTCAATGCAGTGATCAAACAACCATTAAGCAGATTTTACCAATTTGAGTTGAGAGAGAATCGATTTTACCAAGAACAAGAACACTAATCAGATTAATCAAACGATTCAGATAAATCAAACACATCAACAATTTGAGTCGACATCGATTCCATCCATAAACAAGAAAACGAATTAGATTAATCAAATGAATAAGTGATTCGATCCCACCAGAACAATTACAGATCTTGAAACTGCCAAATAGAATCTCGATTTCAAAAAAACGAAGCAAGAACGAACGAGTGATGGTGATAGGGTACACGAAGACGGTTGATGGGGGTGATAATCTGTAATGAGAACGAACGAGTGCACTACCTCCGATGCCGATCGAAAAGCCTCTTCAGAACGAGTATTTGATTTCACTTCGAGTATCTGTTTTCAATCCATGCTTCTTGATTGTTTCCACTTGAGTATGTCTTCGAGTATTACCTGATCGAGTTGTCTTCGAGTATCACCTGATCGGAGTCGAGATTGAAGAAAAGGAAACAAATAAATTAATCTTTGTGTGTTCCTGTGTTTATTCAATTGAGTATCCCACATCGTTGGTGGGATAAAATATCAAAGGGAAAACAATTCTATAAAAAGGGTAGAAGGCTTATTGAAATCCATATCCAACTCTCTTTTGGGCCAACTGTCTCCTTTGAGCCGGTGGGTCATTTGAGCCCCATTTTGGGTCCGATTTTGGATCCGATTTGGGTCCGATTTAGTCCGATTAGGACCGAATTGGACCGGTTTTGACTGATTTTGACCAAGGCCGATTATTTTACCCTCTAACCCTTATTCGTAAGCAGTTGGAGGCCGCCAAGCGCCTAGGCGCCGATTAATCGGCCGCCTAGGCCGATTTTTACAACCATGATATATATATATATATATATATATATATATATATATATATATATATATATATATATATATATATATATATATATATATATATATAGTTAGGTTATAAGTGGATTGTAACTATTGTATGGATGTAGGGATCCTTTGTAGTCCAATCATTTTTGGTAATTTAAAAAGTGATTATCCTATGTAATTAATAAGCTTAAAACGGTTTTAAGGGTAATTATGTCAATTTGGTTAACAATCAAATAAGACATGTGAGATATTCTTACTACTGACCAAACAATCAGACACGATTTCAACAAATTCAGGATTTGAATTTGATTCTCCAGATTATGGAGTTAAGAGCTGATAAAGAACCATACAAAACTTTCTCTGATTATGCATTCTTACAAGAATAAACTTACATAACTTAAAGAATGAACATAAAATAAGAATCCATATTCTGAGAGAATAAATATACAATAACCTGGCTTTACTCATGAATGAGTATACATAACTTTTTCTGATTATACATTCTGACAAGAATGAACATACATAACTTTAATAACCAACATTAAAGAATGAACATACATGTATCAACATAGCATAAGAATAGTTATTCTAACATAATGCAATATGCATATTCTAACAGAATACAATGACAAAAAAGAAAAAAATATATATTATTCTTTGAAGAATAATCATGAAATCATGTAAAAAGTATTACATCAAAAAGAAAATCCTAAAAAACATTCTTCAGTAATTCTTTAAGATTGAATGATAATACATTTTTTTGTTGCAAGAGTAACTCCAAAAACAATAATCTTTTGTTGATTATCTTCCTTATTTGTCAAGAGTATCACAATATCCTTCTTCTTTATCTTTTTTTTTTCTTTTTTAGTATCAAAATGTCCTTATTTGTCTTTTTTTTCTTATGCAGCACCTAGAAGCATGTAATGCTGATAGAATGTAATGATTTCATTCTGAATATGTATATACGCTTCAATTGAAACAAAAAATAAAATTGAAACATAAAACACAAAATAAATAAAGTAAGCACAACAATTATGAACATAATTTGATCAAATGGAATTTTACTAACCTGAATCGAATGACTGGTCTAGACACCGCTTCACGATTATAGAGAAAACACCTGAATCATGTTTATCAAACGAGCCCTGGAGGGTCGATTCGGACATCAATTTGGGGATAAGATGTGGAATCCAACAATGAAGATAACCGGTGGTGTCTTCGATTTGGCGTTGGGGTTGGGCGACGAAGAAGGCTCGACAGTGGAGAGGCACACACCAGAGATGAAGATCCCCTCTCTGCCTCTTCTATTTGCAGGTGGATAAGCAAAAATATCTCGTCTCCCTCTAGAATCGTGTGGTTATTTATCCTCTGTATGACGTAGTGTCTTTCTTTCTATGAATCGCACAAACACAAAAGAGGTGGCGTTTCCCTCCTAGGCTACACCATTATCATTTTTGGTGAAAGCCACCAGCACCGGAAAAAACGGGGGTAAGTGTGAATCGGTGCAAATGAGATTAGGTGGCATAGGGTTCTTGAGATGTAGCAGGGATTTAATGGTAAATGGCCCATTATCTAAGGGATTTTCCATATATATTCTAATTTATTTTTTGTTTATAAAAAGGATTATACATAATGTTACAAATTTACACTTATATAATTTTATAAATTAATAAAATTTTCTTATATATGATTGGTGCCCCACACAATAATTAGTCATATATATATATATATATATATATATATATATATATATATATATATATATATATATATATCGCAACCTGTGACCCTTATAGCCATGGATAAGGTTATTATGTGTAGTTATCTTTAATTTTCTATCACTCTGTCACATCAACACTATATCATTTTGTGTTATGTTAGCATCACGTTAATGTCTTTATATTCCTTTCATCTTTCAAACCATGTTATACTCATCTTCCATCTTTCAACAACAATGCATAATTCCTAATGCACAATATACAAAGAAAAAGCGAAAGAAAAGAAGAGAAAGAGGGGACAACGTTGCAGGGTTGCCACATGGTAATCGTGGGCTGACTATGAGGCATAGCTACTGTTGGTGCCACATAGCTTACCTCATTACCTCGTGGGCAACCAAGGAAGACGTCGTATAGTCTAAGAAATTCCTTTAAAACAAGGTAGTATAGCTACAACTATATTAGTTTCGGTTTGGTATTTCTTGTTCTAAAAACGAAAATATGTGATTGATTAACAAAATACCAAAACAACATCTTAAGGAAAAGGGTTCTACTTTAGAAGTGCTTTTGGCTTTCATAATCTACTTAATATTTCATAGTTTTATTCTGAGGAAGTGTTTGTAACACTTTTTTTCATTTTATTAATATTTCTTATGGTTGAGCAACGCTAAATAAATTGGATCTTACTGGTTATTTAGTGGACATAGTTGAAATTTAGGAATACTTTAAAACTGATACCTTTAGGATACAAACCCTTTAGTCAGTGTAAATATAGTTAACTTGAAAATATATTATTAGCTTTTTCAACTTGTACGGGAGTGCTAAAATTAAAAATAGAACTACAAAATCATTAAAAAGGAAAAATCACGAGAAAAAAAAACCTAAAAAATATAACTCCAACAGTTTTTTCTTTAAAAACCAAATTCTAGATTTGGTTTGGGTTGTAGCTAAAAAAAAACATATATATCTCATACAAACATGACTAAAGTAAAAAAAATCATATATCTAGTATTACCTTCATAGACTATTAGTTAAAATAACTTTTTAAAAAATAATTTTATTTCATAAAAAAATGTTATGGAGTTTCTATTGGAAACAGTTCTTGGTATGTATCAAGTGGGTTCAGATGTCAGACCAGACCGGTCTCAACAGGTACCTAGTAGGTACCGGTTCCAAAAGGTTAGTCTTATTCCAAACGTTCTAAACTTTATAAACCTACAAAAACCTATAGTCATATTGGTTCCATAGCCACGAACAAGACCCGAATTACCAGTTTCAAACTATCTCCCTAAAACTAGTTCCCAGGTCTCTATGCTCACTCATAGTTAAGTCCTAGTAAAAAACTAAAACCTAGGACTTGACAAAGGAAGGGATCAACGAGTCCTATAATGGATTCTCCCTATTCAATTTCATTAAAGTCTCCTTGATGCTTAAAAACGATTTCACAATTGTTTTATTTTAGGACAAAATTTAATCAACTTATACAACCAAATGGATCCCTTAATAATCTATACACTCGTGCAACAAGTTGCTATAAATTGGTCAAAATTGATGATAAAAAATCAAAGCGTGGCTTACATAAATGGTTAAAACGATACTTCGTTACATACATCGTAAAAAGGTGTAACTATTCTATAGAAAAGTGATTAGCCCTTTATTTTATACAAACAAAATAAAGGATACCTAGATGTTGTATATCTGCTCATAACTTCTTTCACAAACAAAATGGTCATTTCCTTTTCGATCTACGTGTCACATATGATGGAACTTACAAAGCTGAAGTGACCCTATTAAATATTAAAATATAAAAACATTTAGAGAAATTAAATATCCTCCTACATTTTAGTCCTACTATTCTCCTACCACATTAAATGGTGACAAGTGGACTAAAATATTATCAATTTCATTAAATGTGTCATTAAATGTGACACATGTCAACATTTGATTGGATAGGAAGATAAGTAGGAATAAAATGTAGGAGGATATTTAATTTCTCAAACATTTATTATCTTAGTCTACTTTTGAAACCGATGGATGCACAAGATTCAAAGACTTTTGCTCATTTAGCTGGAAGAGTTGTTAAATTACAATATGAGAAGGGCATTTATGTCTTTTGCACATACTAATTTCGTTAAGTTGGCAAAAGTTTAGACCCCTTGGCTTTCAACTTTGATTCAAGCCCAAAAAACTTCAACCCAGAAAGCACTAAATCAGCTGTCTTCTTCTTCGTATGGTCAACAAGCAAGTCATCATACACAACCAAATCCGACTCGGTAACCATCTTACTCTCTCTCATAAGCAAAAAGACTTTTCTACCCTCCTCAATTGTTCCATATCTACACATACCCGAAATCACCGCACAACATATCACATCATCAACCCTACAACCATCTTCCACCATCTCACTAATAACATCCATCACCTTTTTAGCATCATTTGATCTACAAATGTCGATAATTCTTAAAGTATACATAAACTTTCGAGGGGCATTTTCGACATTACCTAAACATTCACGAATAAGTACAAACGCCGCATCAATTTCACCAATTTTACAAAGCCCTTTAACCAATGACACGTAGGCATCAACCGAGGGTAATAAAGACATTTCCTTTATTTTATTGTAACATGTACATGCCTCATGAATATCACCGATCTCAATAAAGCACGAAACTACATTGCTATAAGTGAATGAATCCGGTTCCTTTAATTCTTGAAATAAAGTTAATGCCTTTTTCACCTCTTTAATCTCATAAAGTGCTTGAATGAGAATATTGTAAATCGGGACATTGAAATAACCTTTTTGTTTTAAGTTATCAAAAAGTTCTAAAGCCATTAAGACTTTATCTTTCTTTTCTACCATTAATGAGAAGAATTTCACAAGATCATCGATAACCCTAAACCCTAAACCCTGAATCTGTTCAAGAAACTTGCAAAATTCATCGAATTTGTTCAATTCAACAAATGAAAGTAATATCGGATTAATAGTATCGAAATTGGGTTGTAGATCTTCTTCGATTGTAACACGGAAAAGTTTAAGAGCTTTATTAACATGTTTCATGTTGCATAACCCTTTTATAAGATGATTATATATCATCAAATCGGCTCTATAACCCGAATCAATTAAATCTTTTAACAAATCACAAGCCATTCCAACTTTCCCTTCATTCACAAATCCTTCTATCAATGATCTGTAAATAGCTCTATCGATCAAATACCGTTTTTGTTTCATATTTTTAAAGAATTCATGACCCTTTTGGACTCGATTTCCTTTACATAATCCCATAATTAAGGTTGTGTAAGCCATAGCATCAGGGTGGACATTATCACTCTCCATTTCTCCCCAAATCCTCAAACACCCGTCTAGATTTTGTTCTGAAATCAAGATTCTGATCATGGCAGTATATGCAAACACATCGGGTTTACATAATTTCCTCATTTGGTTCAGAAGCTTGAGGGCCTCTTCAATTCGACCTTCTTTACATAATCCTTTTATCAAGATCATGAAAGTAATTCCCTCTTCCATTAATCCATCGTTTTTAAAATCGTTATATACAGACATGGATAAATCGAAGTGGTTGGTTTTCACAAGAGTGTCCATGATTCTATTGTACAAGAAAACCCTAGGTTTTACTCCGAATTTCTTCATTTTTTCATATACGTAGAATACCCTAAGACCCCTGTTAGCATCAGAGTGCATTCTAATTAAGATTTCGAATTGCTTCTCAGTTGGAGGCTTACCTTGCATGTTCATCAGCTCCGGGACCTGGTCAGCTGCCCGGAATTGGTTGTTTCTGTTTAAGCAATAAGAAAAGGCGTTATAGCTAGCGAAATCATGTTTATACCCTTTTTGCTTTCCAGCCCAATGGAAGAACTTGGAGGAGATAACTGGATCTGACTGAACTTTAAGTACCTCTGCAACGAGCTTCGGGGTTACGCGGCGGAGCTTGTTGAGATCGGCGACGACCGGCGGACCCCAGCGCTTGTGTTTTCGGAAGGAATCGACGATGTAACGGGCGATGGGAGAGAGCGTTTGGGCGACGGAGAAGTAATGTTCCGATGGAGAGGGTCGTGGTGATGGGGTGGAGATGGATTGTTCTGGGTTCCATTTTTCGAGATCAAAATTGGTGGTGGCGCGTTGGTGATTTTGATTGGGGTAGAGGGTTTGACGATTGGAGAAAGAGCCGCCGCGGACAGTTGGGCGATTTTGGGTGGTCTTGCGGTGGCCGTAGAAGATGTTGAAGTTTTTGGGAATGGTGGTTGGCGGCGGAGGTTGGGGAGGCATTGTTGTGTACTGATATTGCTAAAAGAACGTCTTCGTCGCTGCTGCCTGCATCCATTGGACTATACAAAAATCGAAAATTGAAAATCAAATGGTACAATAAAAGGTTAAATGATAAATGTATGGAAATGAGCTAATCTAGCCTAAAAACATTTATTATCTATCTAAAAATAGCCAAAAATAGCCCATGAAACACAGTAGAAAACTACTCTTCCGTGGTAATTTTTTCGGTCGTTTAGTCTTTCGCGGCTCATTGGCTCATAGTATATAATATATAATTTTTAAGATTAAGTTATTTTGATTATTATTTGAGTAAATTACTGAAATCGTCCCTGTGGTTTGGTCCCTAACTTTTTTTTTGCACTCGGATCGTCCTTATTGTTTGATTTTGTTGCAAATTTCGTCCCTATGGTTTGGTCAAAATTACACGTTTGGTCTCTAACTTTATGTATGTAAGGGACGAAAAACGCAACAAAATCAAACCACAAGGACGATCCGAGTGCAAAAAAAAATTAGGGACCAAACATGCAATTTTGACCAAACCATAGGGACGATTTCAGTAATTTACTCAAATAATAATCAAAATAACTTAATCTGAAAATTTATATATTATATACTATGAGCCAATGAGCCGCGAAAGACTAGACGACCGAAAAACAATAGCCCATTACCACGAAAGAGTAGTTTTCTACTGTTGACCGTAGTCAACCCTGACGAATCTATTATTTCATTGGCTATTTTTAGCTATTTTTAGATAGATAATAAGTGTTTTTAGGCTAGATTAGCTCATTTCCATACATTTATCATTTAACCTTTTATTGTACCATCTGATTTTCAATTTTCGATTTTTGTATAGTCCAATGGATGCAGGCAGCAGCGACGAAGACGTTCTTCGGGTGCTTAATTTTTTATTTTTGTATAGTCCAATAGAGCACCCGAAGAACAACGAAGTACGTCTATTTTTTATCAAAAATTTACCGTATTGTTAATTAGGAGTAGTTTTTGTATATGGAGATAACTATTTTTTTAAAAAAATGAAAAAAAAATACTAAAACCGTAGGTTTCATACGAAACCTACGGTATACAAGTGCATAATGAACAGATTGTGCAGTGTAAACTTGTACACCGTAGGTTTCTGTCACACCCCTGGACCAGAACGGCGGAAACGTCCGGAGGCGGGTGACGCCATTATACAGTATCATAACAATTGCATATAAATGAAACATAACGAATCCAAACATCATACATCAATATATCAAACTTACATTGTTGTACATCTTGTTCATGTTCTTGAAATACACAAAAGAGACAATATTGAGTAAATTCCAAACTACATCAAAATAATCTTGAATCTGCATTCCATTAACCTGCTTATTGATTTCCTGAGAATACAAGTCGTTTGAAAAGCGTCAACATAAAATATGTTGGTGAGTTCATAAGCATTTTGTATAAAGAATCTGTGATAGTTGGAAAACCAGAAAATCCCATATTTTCTTATCAAATGGTTGTAAGTCTTGTTTCCCATCGAATATAATTGCATGTGTGTTTTAGTTTATCGTTTTTCGAAATCGTATAAAATCATTTCCCTATAAAATCTTATATTTTCTGGTGTATAAAATGGTAGAACTAAAACCCTAAGACTTGTGTGGTAAGAGCTTCGTTCAATGTATCCAAACATTAGTTGTTTAAACTCAAAAGGTGTAACTTATGTAAAGTTCTAAATAATAACTGTTATATTCTTAGTGAGTCGTTATAACCATACTAATATGACGGAGTGTCTGTCCTGACGTTCTTCAGGTGTCGGTTTCGTTTAAGACATTTGTCACCCTAGACTGGCCGGTCTAGCTGTAGCGAACAGCGAAGGTGCGGGGTATCATCCCCGTATAGATCTATACACAAATTCTCGCTCCCCCTCCAGGAGACTCTGGTTATAACTCTTACAGTACTTTAAGCGTACACTATTATGTATATATATAAGTACTGTGAAGATTCGTCTGACTAGAATACTAACAGGTGTTTGTGCAAAAATCTTTGTAATCCGTTATTTATTTCAAAAATAACGATGGTGTACTCGTTGACTAGATATTTCGTTTTCGTTTATAGAAAATATTCTTTTTTAAATCAGGCTTGTCAAAATGACCCAATATACTTGATGTTGGCAAAATGGTCCTTCATTTTATAATTTATCAAATATGACTCATATTTGTCAAAAGGTGGCTCAAAGCTATGTGGATTGTTGAAAGTGGTTCATTTCCTCCAAAATACTTGTTTAAGCAATTTTTGACGTAATTACTTATGATTTTTGTCGTAAAAATTTGTAACTCATATTTTGTAACATACTAGTTCTTGTTTCTTTACATAATTTGTGAAATATGATTCAAACTCTTGAGACTTACCCAAGATTTCGAGTTCTTTGAGTTTTCATAACTTTAGCACATATAACTTAGCATACAAGCAATACAAGCAAATAAATCAAGGTTTAAAAATAAGGTTTTGGCTTGTATTCTCCCCCCAAAAAATAATAAAAAGTCGAAAAAGTAAGGGTATGAAGCTCACCTTGGGTTGGTTTCTGGGATGATTGGAGTGATGGAGTGAAGATCTCAAGTCTAAACTTTTAGATGAGTTGAGGAACTTCTAAGGATGATTATTATCCTAACAATATCAACACACAAATATGTGTGTAAAAATGGTGGAACTATCATATAATCATATATAAATACTAGGGGATTATGAAAATACTTACCAAAAATTCTAAGGATGAACTTGGGCTTAACCTTCTTTGAAAGTTAGGAGAGAGAGTTTTTGAGAGATAAAGAAAAGTTATATGTAGAAAATGAAAAGATGGTGGGGTGTTTTAAGGTGGACGTGTTTAAGATGGGAAGGTGAAATGAGTTGGTGCTTGCTTGGTAATCTGGAGGTTAAAACATTGATATTTGGTGGGTAATTCATGGGTTACTGTGAATTGCATGGAAAATGGGAATTTACATCACATCATAAAGTCAAACCCTCTTATCTACTTTAGGATTCCTTTATAAATCTTGGATATTATTTTATGTAAATATGTTTAAAATAATCAAATTTGGCATCAAATAGGGGTTTAAGGGGTCTAAGTTATGAAAAATACGAGTTTGGTGGAATTCCCAACGTCGAAATACCTTAAAATGAAGAAAAGGTCCGAAATAGATGAAAATCCGGAGTCAGATGGTGAGTTCCAGAGTCACACTATGAGTTCCGAAGTCCTTCTCAAGTTCCGGAGTCAATTCACAAATCCCGGAGTCGCACAGCAGCTTCCGGAGTGGCTGGTCTTCCGAGAGGGTTCGATCCGGAGCATGCGAGATCTTCCGGGGTGAAATCTTCCGAAGCATGCGAGACATTCCAGGGCTGCGAGGACTTCCAAAGCGAGATAGTCCGAAGCAATTCAAAAGTTCCAGATGCGAATTTGTCCGGATGAGAGGGTATTCCGGAGTCAGGGTGCTCCTAGGTGCAAAAATGTCCGATTCTTTTAGAAGATTTGAAGTCGCTTAAGAGGGTCTGAACTGGGCTTGCTCCTTCAAGTTTTCTCCTTTCGTTTTGAGTTGTTTTCGGCTAAGGGAGATACATGGAGAGATTTGAGAGAGATTTGAGATACATGGAGAGATTTGGGAGAGATTTGAGATACATAGAGAGATTTGAGAGAGGTTTGAGATACATAGAGAGATTTGAGAGAGATTTCAGATACATGGAGAGATTTGGGAGAGATAGAGAGATATAAATGCTTTATATTATAACAATACATGGTTCATTAAGAAACATAGTGTAATCCTTAACGCGTTAGTACAAGTCTTACAATAGTTGATGTTCACATGAGGACATAATTTCCTAGCTGAAAATACTAGTTGTGACAGTTTCATATGAAGCCTATGATTTTTTTTTTGTTTTTTTTTAAATTGTTGTAACCTCATAAGCCATCATATATAAGTTATGATTTCATGATTTTTTTTTTCAAAAAACTTAAAAAAAAATTAACGAAACCGTAGGTTCTTGAGAGGAAACCATAAGTTTCCAAAAAACCTACGGTTTTAGAAGTTCAAAATGAATAATTTTTTTTTTCATACTTATTACGAAACAATACTCTACTCTAATTCGTGGGCTATTTTGGAATAATTCCTAATTTTTGGCTAAAAATAATTAATTACCTTCTTCTTAATCAGGCTAGATTAGTAATTGTGCCTAAGATAAAAGTCATAAAATACAGAGTAAATTATAGATTTGGTCCATATGGTTAGTATATTGTTACAGTTTCAATCCAACTTTCAAAACTTTATCAAATGCAATTCTCATGGTTTCCGTTTCCGTCAACTTTTGTCCTTAACATCAACAACTTTAGTCCTTAACATCAACTTGCTTAGAAAATATAGATAAGTCGACCATTTTACACTCATTTTGTCTTGTCTTTTTTGCTTTTTTAATTGCTTTTATTATTTCTC